CATCCATCCATCCATCCATCCATCCATCCATCCATTCATCCATCCATCCATCCATCCATCCATCCATCCATCCATCCATCCATCCATCCATCCATCCATCCATACATCCATACATCCATACATCCATCCATCCATACATACATCCATCCATCCATCCATACATACATACATACATACATACATCCATCCATCCATACATCCATCCATACATCCATCCATACATCATCCCACTTCTTCCTTTTCAGGTTTCAGGTTGGCTTTTATGTATGTGAATGTTTCTATAAAGTGCCCTGAGACAACTTTGTTGTGATTTGGCGCTATATAAATAAACTGAATTGAACTGAAATTGAATCTTCTTCTATGCACATTTTCATACTGTGCCTAAAAATATGGAAGAAAACCATCAAACGTGCTACATGGTTGGATGGAGTGATACAGAAGTAACAACGTCTCAGGATGTGAGTGACAGCTTGTTTTTTTCTGAAGCAGAAGTGCTTCATGTCTGAGGCCTGGGACAGCCTGTCCCCTGCCTGAGGACAAACTGCGAGCTTTTTCCAAACATTATTTTTGTTCCAAGTTCATTTCAACACCGGGTCAGTCGGATGTGAATGGATTAAAGGAATTCACTTCCTTCCAAAGAAGCGATGGAGCCGGAAGTGATGGAAACATGTTGGGTGTTTTCTTGGATAAATCTGAGCAGCTGATATTTCAACAAGCTGTCCACACAGGTCGCAGAGTGGGTGAGCTGCTTTTATTCTGTTGGAAATGATATATTTGGCTTGTCAGGACATATCCCCCCCCCCCCCCCCCCCACACACACACACACACACACACGCCCTCCAGTATGTAAATCTATCTGACATTTACCCCCCACTGAGTGTTCTTCTGGTGATCAGGTGTGCGTACGCGCGCGCGTGTGTGTAAGGATGTGTGTGCGTGCGCGCACGAGCCCAGACTCGACCATGTGACACACCATCAGAGTCGTCCAGCCTTCTTTTAGCAGGATCTTGTTACTGGCTGCTCTCCCCGCGCCGCTGAGCCCAGTCCCTCTGCACCAATCACTGCCTGCCTCTACGTGCGTGAACACACATTCTGAAACACGCGCACGCACGCGCGCTCTCTAAGGGTGACACATAGCTCCGCTCCTCTGTGCGCTGCCTTCACATGCGTCCCGGCCGACTCCTGCGCTGGCTCCGTCAACATGAGCCTGCTCGTCCCGGTCCCATCCGCACGGTGCCCCCCCACCGCCTGACCGCGCCGGAACCGTGAGACACAGAGGGAGGGAGACAGAGTCCTCCTCATCTGTCCCTCTTAAAAAAAACAAACAAAAAAAAAAAACACCTTTCTCTCACGGAGAGGACAACCGGCTTGTCGTTTCGGCATCTCTCCTCCCCTCTCCTCCCCCTCCTCTTGTTCTTCCTGCACCCCCCCTCCTCCTGTTAGTGTCGCTCTCTCCCGGTTTGAAGGAGAAGCCGGAGAGCCAACTCGTGCTGTTGTGGAATTACATCCATTTTTTGGCATTTTTATTTTATTTTATTTTACCCCTCTTCCTGCTGGGTGTTGGTGGCGCGCAGCTGCTGTGCGCTCCTGCAGATTGCGCTGAATGGTGGATTTGGCGAACATGGAGACGGTGGAGAAGGAATGCGGGGCCCTCGGGGGTCTATTCCAGGCGATTGTCAACGACATGAAGGTAAATATGTCCTTTTTTATTTTGAGCTCGTGACACTGGAGCTGCGGTGGCTCCACACACGCGCTTCCCCGGATCAGGATGAAGCCGGGTGTCACAACCTTCAGGCCTAAACGCGTGCACGCACACCTCTTCTAATCTTATAGTTTGATTGTTTCATGGAATCATGATGACAGATGGTTAATGGCACCGTTTTGCATGAGGTGATGCTGCAGGCTGAACTACCCCCCACCCCCACAGTCCAGCTCCACCACCCCAGATTACTGGCTGCGCATGCAAACATCAGTGCATCCATTTTCGGACGCGCTCCACAGATGAGCACTGAGCACCGCGCGCAGCTCCATGTTCCGACCCGGGTTCATCAGCACGTCTGTCATATTTGAGTTGAGTTGTGATGTGCGCACGTGGCCTCCATCAACGCTTTATATGGGACTATATTGTTTCTCCTGTCAGAAGGAGGTGTAGACGTGATCGTGGCTCTCAGCCTCTGATTGCAGCGTCATTGATGTGTCGTCAGCCTGATCTCCGGCAAGAAAAAAATAAAATAAAAAAATAAAAAACACTGAAGGCGTGAGAAGCCAGCAGAGACACGGATCCTCTCTGGTCCTTGTGCCTGTCTGTGTGGAGGGTCTGTCTGTCTCATCTGCATGACTCTCATGATGTGCTCGCAGCTCTAGGAGGACACAGGTTCCTTCTGTCTGTGGCAGTCACACAAGAAGACAAAACTGCACATCAGCTCTGATAAATGATTAAAGACTGCTCCTAGATACAGACTCAATGTTTATATAGCCCATATGGAGAAAAAAAAGGAAAGGCCACCCACTAGTTTTACATGTGAAGAGATAACAAAAAGCACACGACATATTGCACATTGCCATTATTTATTAAACAAAAAAAACAAACCCAAAAGGGAAAAGCTGTGTGTTAAAAATATCCACCCCTACAGCCAATTTAAGATTTCAGAAAGTACAGCAAAGCATGCATGCTATTAAATGGTAACTCTAAAATGTCCCTGTGAGTGAGAGTGAATGGTTGTTGTTTGTCTCTGTGCCCCTTTGATGGACTTGTAACCTGTCCAAGGTGTACCTGGCCACTCACAGTCAGTGACTGCTGGATATGGGCACCAGTGACCCTACAAACTGGAAAGGAAGGAGGGGGTAATTGGATGGACAGATGGAAAGTAGCCGCCAGGATCAAATGCACCTGATTGATGAGCAAACATGACCACCTCTATGAAACGGGGAGTTTTGTCACTTTGCTTATCTGGATCACAGAGATTAACACAAGACAAAAAGGAAAGACATCAGCAATAATCTCAGAGAAGCAATGGTTGCTGCCGGTCAATCTTTGTCTTTTGAACATGAAACCAAGAGATGTTTATCCATGACTGACAGCAGCATGTTTGTATAAAACTATCAGTATATCAGCACAGGCACTTCATAGCAACTGTCAAGCACGGTGGTGGGAGGCTGATGATTTTGACTTGTTTTGCAGCCTCAGGATCTGGGCACAGTGCAGTCATTAGGTGCACCATGAACACCTCTGTAGACCAGAGTACTCTAGAGACCATCTGTCCCCACCATCACAGACATCTGCACCTCCAGATGCAGGAAGAGGGCCACCTGCATCATGAAGGACTCCACTCACCCAGCACACACACTTTTTGCCCCGCTTCCCTCAGGAAGGAGGTTGAGGAGCATTAAGTGTAGAACCACTAGACTGAGGAACAGCTTCTACCCTGAGGCTGTTAGACTCATAAATCTCTAACCAGAAAAATCATTGTAATGCTACTTTAATGGTTGATATGCCACTTTGTTTGTGCTGCTGATTATCCATGCTGCTGATTTTAATCCTTAAAGCTGTATTCATACCCATCTGCTCACAACAGACTCATGTTCAGGCTGCTGTTTAATACACTATATTATAGTATTATTGTTTAGTGCATGTCTTACTGTTTCTTTTTAATATTTTATATTTTTGCTATTTTTGGGTGTTACTGGGACCTTGAGTACACAATTCTGTTCCACCTCATGTACCACATGTGATACGAATGACAATAAAGAACCTTGGACCTTGAGAAATTTGTCCAAGATTTAGCTTTAGCTTGGCTGAAACTGGGTCATGAAACAGAACAGTGATCCCACACAACTTCAAAACTACAACAACTGACTGTAAAAAAAAAAAAATGTCAAGGTGTTCCAATAATTCAATGAAAGTCCAGACCTCATCTGTCTGAATAGGTTGATGGCCTCCACTTGTAGAAAATATTATCATTACAGCAGCACAAGCAGACACTAAATGTTGGATAAATATCTAAAAGATGCTAGATTGGTAGTGATTTAAGCTTTTACTGTACACAGCTCTTCTAACAAGCTGATTTTATCTGTTTTGTCTCTGAATTTTATAGAAAGTGACTCATACTCATTCAGTTTTTACACCTTTGTTCAGAGCCCTTTAGTTTACAGGCTTCTCTTTACATCTTCATGTCTCCGACTTTGTTTCATCTATTATTCATTTGTGCTCCAGTAACCGTCCTGTTTATGTTATCCAGCACTCTCTGAAGTATATGAGCCATTGGGCTAAAAACGTGCTGCTGTGATCAGAAATGGGTGAATTCCTGAAGCTTCAAGGAGGAAGAAGCCTTGTGAGCAGAGTCACTGAGGGGCCGTTTACACGGTGTGTATTTGGGGTGAAACTGCATCTTTTTCTCTGCTGTTCGGCTGTTCATTTACATGACAGTAGCCACCCTCGTTGAATCCAGAGGTTTTTCAACCCACCTCTCAGAGTGGAGGTTTTCTGATGGACCGCCCGCTGATGTGTCAACATTTTCCGCAGAGGTGTTAAAGCGCATGCACACTACAGGCTATTACTATGTCTACGCACGCGCGAACCAACGGCTTATTTCTATCAATAACAATGGTGGCGAAGTATAACATGCTGCTTTCTCTGCTTCGACTGATGGGTTATATTTTGGGTCTCATAGTTAATCTACGACTGAATGTAGCTGCTGTGACCAACATCTGTGTTGGGAAGAGACGCCAGTCAGATCGAGTTAGAAATCGTCATTTATTGAACGAGCCGTCGAGGCAGGCGTCACGCATTGCGCTGGACTATAACATGCTAAATGTGCTAAATAGTAACAGTTTAACAATAATAAACAATATTTCTGTTATGCAATGAAGCTATCTGAGCTAAATGAAACTATCTGGACATTATTTAATTCAAGTTATGTGACTTAAATGATGATGTAGAACACATCACGTCATTAGTTGAAAATGAAGACATCAGATTTAATTTTTATTTATTCATTCAACACCACAAACTGTATGTCACACAAACACAGATAAGAAAACTGAACACTATTAAAAACCTGTTAACTATAAACTTCATGAACTGTACTCTTCCTCTCTGTTGCCATCCTGGATACTGATGCCATGCTGTTTATCTGGCTTGTTCAGGTTCTCACTCCTTTGCATATGTAGCATAAAACATTGAATGGATTGGAAAAAAGAACTGAGGGGACGTTCAAGTGAATGGTTGCTCCAACATCTTTCTCTTCGACGTCTTCCTGCAACGCCGACCTTCGGGCCGAGGTGTACTCTTGTATGGAACCGGTCCACCTCTGGTGGGAGGACAGCTTCTCCTCGCAGGAAAAATAAAATAAATCTCAGTTGGTTGTTGTGTACACAAAGTAAACACAAGCAAATATTATCCAGAACGTGGATCTACCTGCTGTAGCATTGCTCGACAGCTACTCATTAGCACCGGCGTGAGCAGACCGACATCATCCTCGTCAGTTCTTGTCCGCTCAGCGACCGGTGTCGAGCTGTTAGACGAAGCGGTCCCGTTTGGCATCAAATCCGTCGACTCGTATCCAAAATCCAGCTTTAAGTTTTGTTGTTACTGGGCTATCAGCCCAGATGAAGGACCTTACAGACAGCTGCCCCATGCATTAGGTAAATGTACAAAATTCACAGCGCCAACTAATGACCCGGCATGGTAACTACAGCAGATTCGGGGGGAGTTCTGCAGTTCCATATAAATAACAAAACCGCTCTGTGTCCATGCAGATTTTTTTCTGTTTCCCCCTGCCGTGTCCGTGTAAATGGGGCCTGAGTCATCCGCCTCACTGAGGCTCAGCAGAAAACAATGGTTTTAAATCAGTGTTTACTGCTCACCCCGATGTTTACGGCCTTTACCAGATGAAACAAATGAACATGTAGATTTTTTATTTTGCTTTTCAAAAAAAAAAAATCATTGCCGTAGTTTTTTAATTTGATGTCAGAAATGTATAACAAAAAAAGTTGATATATACCTCCTGATATTTTCACTGTCAGGATCAGTCACCTGCTCTTCCATCATCTGCCACTTGTTTTCTCAAATTATATTTAACGTTTTGATTTAAATTCAAATGAACAAAACTCAAAAAAGCTTGAATCAGGATGTTATTTCAGAGTGAATTAGGTTTTTCAAAATTCTGTCTAATTTCAGTTCACTCACTGACATTTGTCATCATATTTGCAGAACTATTAAAAAGAGCTAAATCAGAAAAATAAAATTTGATGACTTTTTCCTTGAACATGGAAAAACATGTTAGGAATCTGAAAGGATCTAAATGAAACAATTAGTTGTGGACTGCTGGATCTAGACAACCTCAGGAACCTCTCTGGCATAAAAACGTGACAAACATAAATCTATTTTTCCCATATGGGCAAGGATGGTCTGAGTCTCTTGGCATAAAAAGTGTATGAACAGGTAAGACACAGCAGACAGTGAGTTTTCTATTTCTCCTTGATTTGTGCCCTCCAAATGAATTATTCATCGACTCGGTTATAAAAACATGCACCTCATTAAGTTGGCTGAACAAACAAGCAGAAAACAGACAGACTGAGCCAGCTGCTGTAAAATCTCTGTCCATACTATTAACTCGGGCTGTTATAGATGATCAATACCTGATCAATATATTTACAGAGTTATATATTCTTTCAACAGTTTGATGATAA